CCTGACTAGAGCTAGCGAGGGCAACGGCAAGCACAAGGACGTGGATGAAACTAAGGCTGGCTGAACATGGCCCAGGGACAGTAGCAGGCTAAGTTTTGTAAGAAAAGGCTTAGTTTTACAAGAACTTACAGTTTTGTAACTATAAGCTACAAAGAACTTTATAGTTTTATAAACTTAAAAATGCCAAGTTCTATAAGAAAAAGACAAGATTTAGATGAAAGGGGTTTTTTTTTCCCCCCCTTGACACCAGCTGCAAAAGTAATCATCACCTGTCCTTCTGGTATAGAGTTTATGGACAGTTGATTTTAAACCCTGTAGTTGGCAGTGCAGCATTTTCAGAGTTTTGAAGTAGCAGGAGTTGCTGCTGACTCACTGGAAAGCAGCGTGGCAAACAGCAAACAAAAATTAGGTACTGCTTCCTGTAGTGCACGAAGCTGTGGCTTTCAGGGATCTCTGCTCATGCAGGTGGCAGTGCCTTTTTCCCTGAGCCAGCTGTGGAAGGCTCTTTCATCACTCTCCTGTGATTAGAAGTCGGTTACAAATGTTACATCAGACCAGTAGCTAGCAAAGCCAAAATACTAGTGCAATAGTGAAGGATCAACACTCTTAATGATTTAACTAAAAGGAAAGGAAACCAGATTAGAAGGAAGAGAATAATGGAAAAAAGTTACAAATGCCATATGCTGGTATAGTGTTCTGTAACAAGCTTTACACCTTAATATTAACAAGTAAGCAATTTTAAAGAGTCAATACTGGGTTGCTATACCAAACTAAAAACACGGTTGAAGTTATAGAGAGTTTACTCTTTCATTACCAATGCTGACGTGCAGGTCAGGAAGTTCTCACACAAGCGTTTGTGGTGTTCAGCAGAAGTTTCAGCACATGTGTGCTATAAACACATTATGCAAAATCTTAAAATAGTGGTTTGCAGGTTTTTTTTAGCTTTCTGGAAGACATCTCAGACATTAATATGTTATGCCCCTTCTTTCCATAATTCCCTTTATGATGTGTCCCTTTTCCACCCCAAGACTGTGACTACATTAAGTTAAATAAAATGAAATCCTCTTGTTCTGTCTTCCTCTTCTGTTTTCAGGGAGGGAATGACTACGAAATTTTCACAGACTCCAGAACAGAAGGCCACAGCGTCACATCCCCGCAGGATACAAGAAGAATCTGTGAAGAGCTGTTTTTTAAATAAGAGACTTTTAGAATCCACACTTACCAAACGGTTCAGGCAGCCTAATAACTCAAAACATCTTCCTTCATTCTGTATTATTTTTTGTAATTTGTCATGAATAGCAAGTGCTTTGCAGGTCATTAATGAACCTTGCTGACTGGTAGAATACAGCAGAGCTCATTTAGCACCATCCTTTCACTGTTTCCATTCAGACAAATACTTTGTTTTCTTTTTGGTTGGTTGTAGGTTTTGGGTTGGATTTTTTGTTGTCGTTTTTTTAAATCATCAGTAAACTTTCTTAGCTAATTAATTACGGGG